TTTCCACAGAGATAAAGGCAGCGCTATAAGGGAACCACCTCCCAGTGAGGACCTGGGAAGCCATAAGAACAAAGGCGGCGTTCAGCGGCACGCAGGGTAAACCCTGCCAGCTCCCCCCCACCCAAATATATGCGATGAACGATTGGTACTGAAACTGAAATCTTGATTAACATCGAAATTATAGTTGACAATAAAGAAACTGATTGATTTATTTAACAGAACAGAAACAACCAAGAACCGACAGAACCTCAAGCTTAATGAGGTTGATTCATTGAATTATGGCGACATGGAGGCTTTAAAGGTTTGTTTGAACATTTTATTCGTTTACATTCATTGGAATATTTTCCCACCAAGCAGATCCTGATTAACTCTCAGTCTGCAGCTTCCTGTCCACAGCTTTGCAGGAAGTGGTCATGATGCAGGTAAACAACAGCGCCATGGCTGCCGAACAGGCTGGAGCTGCTGGAGCTGATTCCTCCGACGATGGGAAGGTAGGAGTGATGGAGGATGGGCAGCTGCAGGGACAGACGGCGACGGACGCTAGGAGGGACGACAGAGAGAACACCTCAGAGCTGGGCTGAAGGAGCTGCAGGAACAATAAACATCCTGAGATAGCAGCTGCTGATCTGCTGGTTTCACTTCAGGACGTCACTTGTAAGCAAACTTCATGGCAGTCGGTCAGGAAACCCCCAGAAATCCCACGTCCTGAGCCTGGAGCACAGACTGGCTCAGTGGGAGGATTTCTGGAGGAAAAACCTGCTGCTTTCAGGGTGGAAACGAACCGAAGGGAAACTACTGAGTGTCCAGAAGGACCAGGTACTGCTGCCAAAAACATTTATTCCTACTTCTAAGACGGAATGCAAAATACTTCCAGTGTTAACATCTATCAGAGCCTCAGTTAGCAGAGAATATAAGATCCTGGTTCATTTAATTAGTTTTAAGGCTGTTGATCCATTTTTAAAACATTTAAAATAAACAATATTAAGAACAAGAAAAGGTTTGCTCAGTGGTGCAGTGGGTCGCATTGCTAGCTTGCAGCAAGAAGGGTGAGGGTTTGATTCCCTGCCCGGGTTCTTTCTTCCCTTGCCTTTGTGGGTTCCTCCAAAAACATGACTGTTAGATTAATTGGCTTCTCTAAATTCTCCTCAGGTGTGAGTGTGAATGGTTGGTTGTCTATGGAAGAAAAACAGGCTCATTGGAATCTACCTTTTTTTTTTACACCGAACTTTAAACACTGAATTTTTTTTAGACATTGAATTCCTTACAATAAATTTTTATCTGCAAAAATTCAGCTGCAAAAAAAATTCAGCTGCAAAAAAAAAAATTCAGCTGCAGAAGTGTTGACCTTCTGGTGAACTCAAGCCAAAGCAATCTACCCTCGATAGAGTCGAGCAGCTTCTAGCCAATGAAATGACCTCATTTGGTCACGTGACACAATGGCTGAGTTCCCGGCTG